CAGCACCACCAGGATAGAGCCCACGTGAGGACAGTCGCTTCAGCCCCTCCAGCCTGGCTCAGTCTGGGATAACACAGAGTGGAGAACCACCTCCCAGATGTGACCTCTGCCTCGCTGTCTGCTCTCCCCAAGCTTTTCCCCATCAGAGGAGACGGGGCACGTCCCCACTGTTTCCTGTCCCACAGCCCCCTTCCATATCTGTCCCAGTTCCCAGCAAAGCATCAGGGGATGCTGTCTTTCCTCCCTGGCTGCCCTCACCTTTTGCAGTGCAGCACCTGCTCAGTCAGCATCACAGGTGCAGTGTCCCAGCCTGTCCCTGTGGCACACATGGGGTGTTCCTGATCTGAGGGAGGGACAGAGCCGGAAGGAGGGCAGCAGTGGCTGAAGACCTCAAAGCCTGCAGAACCTACTGCCCTGTAATGCAGCTGGAATCTGCAGACTCTCTGTGCCATGAGGGCAACTCATGGGAGCTGGCACTGCTCACGCAGGGCACCAGGGATGCAGTGGCTGCTGCTCAAACAGGGAAGGTGTCCCCAGAGCCCCCTCCCCATTCAGGCTCTGCTCTGAGCCCATCCCAAGGGGGTGTCTCCTTCCCTGCTGGGCACAGAGCTGGGCATAGGCAGTACACAGCCAGTACAGCCTGGGCCCTCCAGGTCTGCAGAGCCCAACAGAGCCCCTGGTGTGTGAGAGTCGTCACAGGAAGGCACTTCTGGAGCTGGAGCCAGGCAACTGCTGCAGTGAGAACAGCCTCACCCAGAAACACCAGCATCCTGGGGGTTTTGCCCCCCCCCCCCATGCAGTAACTCCAAGCACCAGCGGTGCGTAGCCATAGGAACATCACTTAACACAGTCACCTTGGTAACCACAGCTCCACGCTCTCACAAGCACGTGCAGGGCCCTGTGCACCCCGGTCGGGGTCCCTCGGTCCTGCACCCACACAGCAGCCTGCAGCCTGCCCAGCCTGCAGGTCACGCAGCCGCACAGCACCAGCAGGACCAGGGATGGACCTGTGTGCCAAGAGCCCCAGTGGTGGCACTGCACCACCCTCACAGTGATGGGAAATCACCCTCAGCAACCAGAGAAGGGAGTCAGACCCTTGCAGAACCCTCTGGACCAGTTTGGCCACAGATGCCTTTGCCTGGAGGTGTGCACTGGACAGAGCAGTGTCTCCTCCTGTCCCACAAGCCACCGAACCTCCACCAGCTCCTAAGGCAGAGCCAAGAGCATAAGGACCAACCCCACACACCCAGCCCCCCAGTGCAGAAGAGGAAAATGCCTGGGTTGGATTCATGTGAGGATGCAGCTGAGAGGGACAAGACCCCAGCGCCTGACCCACCACAGACAGACTGTCAGAAAATGCAGCTGCTCCCTCCATCTTCCCACACCACCACTGGGCACAACTGCACATAAAAACAGCTCACAAAGGTGGTACAGCCCAAGGACAAGTAAATCTGAGTGTTGGGTCCCCACACCTAGCACCCTCATCTCAGCAAGCACCCCTGCATTCCTGCAGAGAGGGCAGCAGCACAGACCCATGGCTGTGCAGCCAGGCAAACACCCAGTTCCTGGGCACGTGGGCAATGCCATGGACCAGGCTGACCCAGCTCAGCACTGAGCACTGCCCTGCCCTGCAGGCACAGATGTAGGGCTGCACAGACACCCCAGCTGCCCTGTACCTGTTGCAATCATGCACTCTTCCTCCACTCTCCTGGCTCCAGCTCAGGAGCAGCACAAGGCAGTGGGAAACAAGAAAACCAAGACCTTCCAGGAATTACACAATCCCTGAAGCAACCTGGACAGCCCCACGGCTAGCAGGACTGACCCACCCTCCCCTCACTGCCAGTAGGGAGGCCCATCACCATCCCCCTGGCTCAGCCTCACCGCTTATGGCCTGGGCCTAGCCCCAGCACAGCCCCACGCTGCACTGGCGCCCCACACTTGCCGGTGTCCTGCCCACCCCCACTGACACTCCAGGCCCCAGTGGCAGATCGCAGGGTGCAGGGCTGGAGGTGCTGCACCCATGTCTGGGATGGGGGGTGTACCTGACCTGTTCCCAGGGACTCCGTGCTGCCCAGGTGCAGCTGCTATCCAGAGCCAGAGCCGGTGTCGGGGAGGATGCCACCCCAGAAAACCATCCTGCCTCTGCAGGAGCCCAACGTGCACACTGATCAGTCAGCCTGCACTCACTACTCGGCTTCTCCTGCTTAGCTCCGGTAATAGGATAACGTTGCCTCCATCTGTTTGTCTGGGACTGAGAAGCTAATCGCCTCCTTGGCATCTTCCCCTCCCCACACCCCTGCCTCCAGCCCCATCCCATCCTTCAGAGCAGCGCAGGGCAGAGCTGCTGCACTCCCCGGAGCCAGCAGCAGCTGGCCAGGCAGCCATGCCAGGACAGATCCAGGCAGGACTGAGCTCCAGGCTCAACGGCAGCCTCCCTGCGTCCCCCAGGCATGGGCTCCTGCTGTAGCTAGGGAGGACAATTTGCTCATTTAGGGTTAGGAACAAAGCCCTGCAGTGGGGTTTGCCTTGGCCGAGCCCAGCTCCACAGGGCCCTGCTCCCACTGGAATCTGCTGTGTTGCTGCTTAGCAATTTGGTCCAAATGAGAGTGCTGCCTTCTGGGGAGCAATCTGTTGGAAGTGTTCAGAAATGATGCTGCCACAGCATTCAGCTTTGGGCCCAGCAAGTTGTGGATTCACTCTTGGAGCAGGAAGAACTGACTTAATTGAACTCATAAGCCAGTAAAAGAACAGCTTGGAAAAACGTCCACCTTTCAATACAAACACAGTTCAAGCCCACTGCACACACTTCAAGACTGCACCTGCCCTGCATAGGCAGCCAATGCTTAGGCAACTCACACAGACCTACAGCTTTTCTGGAAAGCACCACTCAGGGCACAGCCACTCCTCAGCCTTGAGCCACCCAGCACAACGTGGCTCAGCACAGTGCAGGCACGGCACTACACAGCACAGCACAGCACAGCAAGGCACAGCACAGCACGGCGCGGTGCAGCACAGCACGTCACAGCACGACACAGCATGGCATGGCACAGCAACTCCCCTGTACGGAAGCACGTAGTGTGGCCCACGCAGCACAGCCCATGCAGCTCAGCCCACCCCTGCACGGAAACACGCAGCACAGCCCACGCAGCTCAGCCCACGCAGCACAGGCAGCCCTGCACAGGCAGCCTGAATTATCTGCAGGATTTACAAGGTGATGTTGTAGGGGTCCTGGAATGAAGCTGCAGTCTGTCAAAGAGCCTGCTGAAGCCAGACCCATGCTCAGAAAAAGCACCTCAGTGTTCTTGTGCCTTAGCATTTTACTTTTCGTTTGTTTCATTCTCTGGTTTCCAAACCTTTACACTGAAGCCTACACATTGCAGGCTGCACGCCACAGCTCAGCCTCCCAAGTGCACAGGGCAAGGGGGCAGGGTGAGCCTGGCAATTCCTGAGCCCCAGCCCCACCGAGGTGTCCATGGGGCGTGTGTGTGCACTGGAGTCCTGCAATACTCAGCTCACCCCTTCCCCAGGGCAGGACTTCTGGGATGTGTGCATGGCAAATATCTGCAGTGAATGGCGTTGGCAGGAGACAGGGGAAGAGCCGTGCTGGGCATTAAGAGACCCCATGGGAGAGGCGAGTGAGGAGGCTGCTCAGAGGAGCAAACAGTAGGGGCAGGGCAGAGACCAGGGCAGGAAATGGGGCCTCTTGCCAAGCAAAGAATGTTCAGCAGGCAGGGGAGAGAGTCAGCCCCAGACCATGAGCAGGTACTTGTCATTTGCTGTCTTCCATTCCTAAAGGACATCTCTCCCCTGCCTTTTCCCAGCTGGGTCTTACAGTTCAAGCTACATCTCCACCAGCCATGGGCTCTCCAGCACTCCTCCCTGTGCTTTCTCTAGTGCCTCCCTGTCCCTGGTGTAGCTCTGCCTGTCCTTATATACCTCTGCACAAGTTCTTGCCCTACCAGAGTCACAGTAAGCCACTGCTACTTCTCTTCCCTGCCCGCATCCATTCAGTGCCCTGGGAGAAAGCATGCACCCCTGACTCTTGTCCTGGCATCCTGGGATAGGGGCACCCACCACTGCTTTCATTCTCCTAAGGGACAGGAGCTCTGGCACCCATAAGCAGTGGTGCTGCAGGTTAGCCATGCACACATGGTGCTGGCTGGCCTCACACCACGGCTCCGCAGCCTCCCTCATGCCAGCCTGACAGCAGCCATGGAAGCAGCATCAAAAGCCTAAACTTCTCTGTGTGTCCAAAGAAAATGCCCTTCACAGCATGTTGCATACTCACCCAGAGCTCCCACTGAGATCTTGCCCTGCCCTGTAGCACAGCATGCACACAGCACCCAGTTCAGACACAGCTGAGGGGTGACATGATCCCACACCAGCCACACCAGCTCTGGGGACAGGCAGCACTTGCAAAGGGTTCAGCTTCCTTGGGCAGGGCAGGAAAAAGCCCCATTGCATTAGTCAGCAGCTGAGCAGCCAGGGCTGGTAGAAGTACCCACAACAGTGAGATGACCAGGAGCCTCCTGTCCTCCAAGACCAGTGGTCCTTGCCCCAGTCAGAGATGCTGGATCTCAGCTGGATGGACCTGGGAGGATTCTATGAGAGATGGCATGCTGGATCCCAGAGGGAAGGGTCTGGGCAGACCCTTTCTCCCCTTGTCTTTTCCTCTTGATGTCTCCTCAAGGCACATACATGATGTGATGACCTACTCCTGACTCATAACTGCTTCTGCATCACTTACAACCTGCCTGAATGCACCCTGTTCCCTTCAGCCTGACACCCGCCATCCTTTTCCAGCCCTCACAAGCCCCATTTTTGCCCTCAGTCCTCCATGCTGCTGCTCAAAAGCACTGGCCAGGTCTCCATCCCCAGTGCCCCAGACAGGTGATGCCCTCCCAGGTGGAGGCAGCAGGGCCCTCATCAGCCTCACTTCCCGTTGGGAGACCCAGGGCATTTCCAAAGGCAAAAAAAGGGAAGAAAAAAACAGCGTTTACCTGAAAAGACTGGCACGGGCACGGGGTCACAGCACTCCCTCTTCATCAACCTGCAGATAACAGACAGCAAGGACATTATCAGTGCAACGCACCCCATGAAAGGCCCCAAGCACACTACACCCATACCTGCCCAGTGAGAGCTGGGGCAGCCTCAGGACAGCAGGGAGATGTGGAGACCCTCCTAGGACCTGAGTCAGGGAACAGGAGCATCCCAGAGCAAATCCACAGGACAGCAGGGAGAGCAGCAGCATTGTCCAGGGCTTGCAGCGATGCCAACTGCCCTGCTGCACTGGAGCCGCCCTGCCCCAGGCCTCCTGCCCACATTGCCAGCAGGAGACCTGAGGGGCTCCCTCCACACCCAGGCACGCTAAGGAACTGGCAGCTCCACGTCTCTGCTGGCAGTGCAGCATGGGGCAAAGTTGTGTCTGAGGGCAATGCAACTTTCTGAAAACCACGGGCAGGAGAGCAGGGAGCTGGCACAGCCATGGGCCAGCAGGACTCCCTCCCACACGCCTCTCCCACTCCTCAGCAGGGCTGAGCCTGAGAGCAGGGGCCGGCTCCAGACCAACACCAGCTATGCCAAGAGTCAGCTCCTCTTTTTCAGGCACCAGCCCCAAGGCACCTGCAGAGCGTACCTTCACAAGATCAGGAAGGAAGTTCACCAGGCTAAACTCAAAACGGTGACAGGCAGCCAGGAGACAGCAGAGTGTTTCCATAGTGCCTCTGCTCTCCTGTGTGCTGGAAATGTGCATGCTCTCTATCCTTGTTTCTCATTAAAGATCCTTTCTGGGTGAGTGGCTGAAATGGCTGTTCTGTTGTAGGAAATTAAAAATGTATGACTTGGGATTTCTCGGAGCACGCTTGTTGTGCTGCAGCTGGTGTCGGCAAGTGCAAGGTGCTGTGGGGGGGAAGGGGCGGCAACAAGGATCCCATTTTTGCAAAGCACGTGTGGTGCACCACGCAGGCAGCTGGGTGCCGCCAGGCTTTCAACATTTTACAAGATGTACTCCATTCAACTGGCAGAGGTACCCCAGGCACTGCGATTCACCTGGAAAACTCAGCAGCCATTGTGTGCCTCTGTAAAGCGGTGCTGCTAAGGTCACCACGCGGCCTTCACAAGATGCTCCGGACATAGCTGTTACCACCCTGCTGCCCTCTCTCCTGAGAAAAGCTCATGGGACACCTGTGCTGCTAAAACAGAGGAAATCTACTGCAGCAGCTTATGTCAAACCTAGACAAAGCAGCACAGGGCATGCATGTGTCCAACATCCATCGGCCACAGTGAAAGAAGCTTCTCTCCCATCCTTGAGCACTGGGAATACCAAGGCTGGGACAGGCAGATGCTGAGGCAGTGGGCTGCAGTGCCCATAGGAACATCAAACCTGGATGAGCCCAGCCTTGCAGGCTTGGGGCCAGAGGGGTGACACCACACAGCCTCCCGCCCACTGTGTACCATCTGAAACCTCTCTCTGCAGCACATAACATGGTTCAAGGGCACACAGCAGCCGCCATCCTTGTGCACCACTGCTGTCTACACTGCAGGGAGACTCATTTGCTGCAATTAGGACACTTGGACAAAGGGTTGTGTGGTGCTGCAGAGCAGGAGCTCACCACCCACCAAAGACACTTTGTGCAGCTCATGCCCCCAGCTCACTGCTGCCTCCGGGCAGCCTCAGCCCCAGGACACAGTGGAGTTGGGCTGAAGCTATACAGCATGGCTACGAGTCACCAAGGGGAGCACAACCCCGACACCTGTCACACTGGGCAGCCCAGCTCCACACCCTCTGGGCATCCACATGGCTACTGGACTGGCGCTTAACCAAACCACCCAGGGATAGGCAGTGGTCTGGATCATGGGAGCCTTCTCCAGCAAGACCACACCAAGGCTTCGTGTTGAGGCTGCTGCTTACCCAGCCAGGGCACAGCCCAAGTAGCCATGCTGGGGTCCCAGGGCTCCATATTTGCACCCAGCCAAGCACTCTCTGCACTTTTCCACCATTCCCCTGGGACCAGGAACACTGGGGCACTGCTGGCAACGGCTGGAAGCAAGACAGGCAACAGAGTGCTTGGGGAATGAGCACCTGAACAGCTGTCCTGGGTGCAAAGTGGGTACCAGGGCTCCCCAGGAAACTGCAAAGCCAAGGGGACTCAAACAGGAGGCAAGAGTGGCCAAGGGACTAGGAAAAGTGCCATAAGAAGAGAAAGGAAAGAGCTGGGATGGCTGCCTTAAGAAAGGAGGCAAATAAGAAGGCACCCAGATAAAAGGCTGTAACATCCTGAACAGTCTGCAGAAAGGAGACAACGTTTCTGCTCTTTTCATCTTGCAGCTTAAGAGCAATGGAAAATACAGTGGAACCTCACACTAAGAAAGGAAACGTTCTGTCACATCACCCATAATAAGACGGTGCAACTCACTGCCACAGGAAGCCCTTGAGGACCAGAGCTTTGCAAGTTTCCAACCAGGTCCAGATGTTTCTATGGGCAATGACACCAGCAACTCTATCAGTGGCAGGAAATCTGGCATGGATGTGAAACCTCATTCTGCAGGGCTCCACTGAAGCCCACTGATGCTGAGCAGGATCAAGTCTCACATGGAGGCAGCTGGTCTCCACCTTCTCAACAGTCTCTGCTGCCTCCTCTGCTGCCTTGGGCAGAGTCAGAGATGGGCTAGGACAGCAGGGCTGGCCCCAGAGGGCTGTTCCTAGCTGCAGAGCAGTGTCCAGTACTTACAAGGACCTTGTTCCATCTCCAGCATGACAGCTCTTCCTCCCAGATATCCTCTGCACCCTCAGCTGCACACCCAGCCTCCAGAGCAGACCCAGGCCAGTGTGACCATCTCCTGGACTCCTCCTGACACCAGCCATTCAAGCACTGTCTTTCTGTCCTTCTGTGACAAGGGCCCAGTGCAATGTTGGCCACATGAGCACGCATCCTGCAACGTCAAAGCACCATTTTGCACAGGAAGCAGCTTGGGAGATAAATTAAATCCTTATAATATGAGCATCTCCTCCCAACCCTGATAACAGGCAAAGGAGATTTATGAGTTTATTATTGGACCTGATAAATTAAACTCTTCACAGAGGAATAAATTATGCAGATGATCTGCAATGTGTTTAGACTGTAGCTTGTACATTGCCAGTATCTGAGCCCTCCCAGTCCCTGAGGAGTCTGCTGCCTGTGCAGCCAGAGGGACCTTGTTCAGAGCACCAGGGAGGCTGTCCTGTTGTTGTTCTTGCTCACAAATGGCAATTCTGCCTTTCACCAGTCCAAGTTTGACTCTTACTGTGTATGTCCAGACTTCCTGCTTTTCGTTCAGTTTCTTCCCTTTCAAAGATAACAGAGCTCACAGTGATCACAGCAGCTGGTCCCCAGCAGCCTAACGAGCACAACATGATCAGAAATGAAGTTAGCAGAAGTAAAACTGTCCCCAGGACAGAACTGGGAAGCATCTGGAGATTCCTGTATCAGGAGGGCTGTGGAAATGTGTCTGCATGGAGAGACATCCATAGGGCTATGATACGGCAAATGGGACTTACAGAGATGCCTGTGATCAGAGTTCGTGCAGAGGAGACCTGCCCATTTCTGCCTGCTGAGACGTCCCAGGGCCCTGGCCCCACAGAGGGACAATGCCACTTATACCCTCTCACGTGCATCCTTGAGGACATATCATCCTTGTCATCCTTGACAACTTCTGCCCCATCTGCTCCAGACAAGATCTGCTGGCAAAGCCTTCCCCAGTAGTGGGCAGCAACAAACCCAGGGCCAGGAGATGAAGAGCCACGAGCAGATACCACTGCACATCTCCATGTCAGCCCAAGCCCAGCCACTGCTTCGGCCATACCCACAGCCAGACCTGCCACTGTGCCAGAGCCCAGCCTAGCACAGCCTGGTGCAGCACAGGTGCTCCAGGCACGCCAAGGGCCTGCAGGACTCATGCAAGAGGTCAGCAGACAGGCAGGACGAGCTACAGCACTACCATCATGCCCCAGCAGGCTCTTGTCACAACCCCAGGGATCCGCAACCCAATGGAAGAGCAGGAGTGTTGACAAAGGGCTATGTCCTGCAGCCCGAACCCCAGCGTGATGCCCTGTGTCCCCGCAGCATGCCGGGAGCTGTAGTCCCTTTCCACCAAGGCCAGGAAATGTTACATCAGGCTGTGAGGTCACTGAGCCTTGCCCTGAGCCTCCCGTGGGGAAGGTCCCAGCCAGCGCTGAACAATAGCGCTGGGGCTGAGCGCATACGGGGCTGCTGCTCTTCCTGCCATTCTTTGCACTCCCCTGAGGATGTCTATAAAAAGCAGAAGGATCCAGACCAGGAAGTTTAAACCACTCCTTAAATCAGCCACACAGACCAGCCTCGCCCAGGGTGGTGGAGCCCCGTGGTCCCTAGCTGGGGGGACTGTAAGGAGGTGTGACACAGTCCAGGACCAGTCAGTTCTCTCCTGAGGAAAAACACAGCCCTGAACCTAACTGCACTTCGGGTTTCTCTGTGCAAACAAGTCCGAGCCAACCGCCAAACCCACCCCTGTTTCTCTGTTGCTCTTGAGCTCACACAACCACCCACTTCACCAAGAAACTGCAGCCCAAAGAGCCACCTCCTTCCAAAGGACCAGAACCTCAAAGCAGCAACTGAAATACAAAATGCTGCTGGGCTGGAGCACAATCACCAGCCCCACACTGAAAGGCTCATGGCAAGTTGAGGTGCAAGAGGCTGCTTGGGGGGTGAACACCACGCACACGTTCCAGGGGCTCAGGTAGGCCCAGCTCTGACTGGGGGGAAGTGCTGGAATGAGAACTGGCACCAGCGGTGCCTCCTGCACCATCCCAGCACCACACAGCCCCATGCCCCTCCAAAGTCACTTGTGCAGCCACAAATGAGTTTTCATACAAAATCCAGAATCATAAACTCACAGAGCTGCTGCCAGGGAGTGAAGAATACGTTGCAGCCAGAGAAGATCTTTCAATATTTAATGATAGATGATCCTCCCCATCGACCTGCTTCTTGGGTTACAAAAGTCTCCATCCACTCTGCTCCCCACAAGAAGATGGGCAGTCTGGCTGTTCAGTAGTGACACAGACACCTGATCCCCTAAAAGTTTAGGCTGAGCCTTGAGAGACTTCCACAAAGCCAGTGCTGACTCCCCCTTCCTACGCTACCAATGGGAGCCAAGGCACTCAGAAGCCAGCGCTTGTGCCTGTTGTCACAGTTACAGCAGCTCAGCTGCATTTAGGAGTGGGATGGCAATTTACTCTTTGTGCTCATTTTAGCTCCGTGGCCTCCCCTGCGACAGGTCTGCCATTGCAGAGGATATCCCTGCCCTACAGTTCTGCTGCTCCTGGGGCAGCTGTGCCCCCACTTCCCCCAGTGTCAAGGGCAGAACTGGACCACCAGGTCCCAGCATCCAAGCTGGCAGCGCTGGGTGCAGCGCTGGGAGGAGGCAGGTAGACTGGGGCAGGGCACAAACGATCCTATCCTGGCTCCAACAGTGCCAGCTCGTTTGTTCCCCTCTCAGCTCCTTCTTATCTCCTGCACCACCAGGCAGGAGCCCAGAGCACTGCTCATGACATTGCCTTGGGCTGTGGCTGGTCCCTGCACCACTCTGAGGGCCTGAATGCAGCCAGCAGAAGCAGCTCAACTCCATCACAGCCACACATGCCCCTGCCCGGCTTGCAAAACAATGTGCCCAGTGCTACTCCAAATGCCATGGCCAGATGCTGGCCTGGCTCTGCAATGTCCCACAGCAGTGAGATGCTGTCTGACACACTGCAGGGCAGGACCTGCCTGCTGCCAGCCCAAGGGCCCTGTAGTCCTGCCATCGGGGAACCTCACCCCACTGGGCACCCCAGATCCACACACACCTTCCTGCTCTCCGCAAGACAGGGAAGGGAGCCCAGCCTGCCAGCCCTTCACCCAGCCTCAGCCTGCTTGCCCATGCACCCCACACAGCCCCACACCCTGCCCCACACCTCCCGTGTGGAAACAGCAGCAGTAACAATTTTTATCTGGTTGAAATCTCAACAGAATATTCTGTAATGGGCTGCTTGTACATGTTCACTTCTATAAGACAACAGTGGTTTAACTAAATGATGTGGTACAAAACACAGTGTATAGATAATACATTATCAAGAAAATACTAAAACGTCAAGAATACTTAGGTGTTATGTGAATATTTACATTTTCTAAGCTGAAAAAAAAAAAGATTATCTAAAAAAAAAGAACCTTGTAATATTCTCCTTTGTGCCCTTTTTCCCCTCTCAACCTCTGTTGCCACATGCACAAGAACTTTGTAATGAATTTAAGTGTTAGTTAAAAATAAATAAACTATGGAAACTTGTCATGCGTTGTCTTCATTACCTGTATGTCACTATAGAGAGAGAATGACAACAAAAGTGTTGAATGAAATTTATGAATTTCTGGTGGAAAAGGACCCTAGCATGCCCCATGTAGGAACCATCCCTATTCCCACTCAGTTCCCATACAAGCCCAGGCCCAAGCCTCAGTGCCTGCATGCAAGCAATGCATGCAAAACGTGCTGCATCTCACATGCAGCCATACAATCCCAAAGATTCAAGCTCGCACTCACTCTCAGAGTGCAGGGTCTTGTGCAACATCCACATTTGCAAGGGCTGCAGCAAGCACTGCTTGGCCAGCCTAGAAGATACCAGCCAAGAGCAACTGCACATCCCAGGCAAAGACACCTTCTGAGGCACCTAGGCCAAGACAAGAGCAGAACTGTGCCAAGGTCATTCCCTAGCCCTCATCTCCTCTCCTTGAAACCCAAGGCTTTGGCACAAACACACCACAGCTAAAAGAGCAGCTGGTATGCTAACACAGCAAGACATTTGCTATAGGCATGGTTACACAGCTAGCCTCCTGTTTGACTATGTTTCTCACAGATGCTTGACAGATGTAACCCTTACATCACTGAAGCCTTTGAGGATCCCTGTCCGCAGGCATTAAGGCAAGAAACAGAAGGTACAGATCCTGTTTAAATCCTGTTTGCTTCCAGGGCTACCGTCTCTTCATTCTCACATCCTGATTCACACAAACACAGACACTCGTGTGTACCAGTACCTGCGCAAATCCAGCTCTGGAGTTTCCTGCTTCCTTGACCCATTTTTAGAAGAGGAGGAGAATGGCAGACTCTCATTTTTCCAGCAGTTCCCCAAGACATCAGGGGGCAGGCCAAATCTGCAAACTCAGGCCCAAGCACAGGAGCACGGCCATGTAAGTCCTGCACACAGGACTGTACAGCACATCCTGAGTCCAGAGGCCAGCACATTATCCGGAAGAGACTGGGTTGGAGATGCCTGACTACACAAATTGTGCTTACATACTGACAACAGAACACATGGAAAAATGGTGTGCTGAGCATCATGCACAGGTATGTGCAAAGCCCTGGGTGTGGATACACTCAGTTATACGCAGATACACAAAGATCAAAAAGTGACGCGTTGCAAAATCAATGACATGCCCTCACCAGAAGTAACCCTGCTCCACTTAAATGCTTCTGGACCATGCCACAGGCATCATGGTCCGTACTCTCTGACGCACACTACACCTGTGTGCATGATACCAGAAAGCAGGGCTCCCGTTGCCCAGCACATACACCCAACCATAAATCATGGCCCCTACTTCCCAGCACATGTGTCACGGCAAACCATGGCATCTACCTCCAGCTACATTCAATTCACTGCAAATCACAACCCTTATCCCCTCAAATACGCCCCCACTACAGTCACAGACCCTTCTTTCCAATCTGCACACCCCACAGCAGCCCTCACTCTCCAGCACAGGCACACCAGTGCCAACCACAGCTCCTGTCCTTAAGTGCTGGCACCCCAGTGCAGCTCGTGATTCCTATCCCCCAACACCTGCCACAGCAAACCCCGACTGCCACTCCATGTCCCAACATACAACCCAATGCGAGCCACACGTCCAATATACAACCCAACGCGAGCCACAGCCCCATTCCCCAAATCATTTGTCCAACTGCTCACCAGTGCCCCTAACACCAGCGTGGACAACCGACCACAAACCGTGGCCCAGATTCACCAGCGCAGACGCACCTGACTGCACCCCACGGCCCCGTTCCCAGGGCACAAACCCCCCCGCAATCCCCAGACCCCACGAGGCAGCACAGCGAGGCAAACCACAGCCGCCGGTTCCCCGCACTGCACGGCCCCTGTCCGCCCGGACCCCCGGCCCCGCAGCCCCCGGACAAGCCCCCGGAGCCGCGGCTCCGCCTGCCCACGGACCCGCTGCCGGCCGCGGCTCCCCGCCGCCGTCGCCCGCGCCCGCCGGCCAGCCCGGCCGCCGCTCGCCGCCACGCGGAGCCGTCCCCGCGCGTGCCCCAGGAGCCGAGCCTCGGCCGGAGCGCGCAGCCCCGCGCCCCGGGGCGCGCTCCGGGGGCCGAGCGGCGTCCGCGAGCGGCGCCCGCTGCCCCCCAGCCCCGCCGCCGCCGCCGCCGCGGGCACTCCGCCCGCCCGCCTCGCGCCCGCCCCGGCGCCGGCCCTGCCCCGGGGGCCGCTCTTACCTGCGGGGCGGCGGGCGGCGGGGCCCGAGCCACCATAGCCGCGGCGCGGCCGGGGGCAGCGGCGGCCGCCGGCAGCGGGAGAGCCGCAGCGCGGAGCGGGCGGGGGCGGCGGGGCGCGGGGAGGATCGCGGCGAGCGCGGCGGATCCTCCGCGAAGTCGGCCCCCGCCGGCGGCGGTGGGGCGTTAGTTTAAGGAGTTGTCATGGCGACGGGGAGCCTGTGCGCGGGGAGGGGAGGGCGGCAGGGAAAGTTCACGGACGGCGCCGAGGGTCTCCGCCCCGCGCTCCGACGGCCGGACGGTGCCTGCGGCCGCCGCGGCCCGGAGCTGCCCGGCTCCCCCGAGCCCCGGAGCTCCCCGCGTTCCCCCCCCTCCGTCCCCGTTCTCCCCGACTCCTCGTCTCTCGGGCTCTCCGGACCCCCGGTCTCTCCCCGCGCCCTTCGGCCCGGCCACGCCGAGCCCGCGGCCCCCGGGAGGCGCCCGCGGTCAGCGGCAGCCGACGTGAGCGGGGAGCAGCTCTCCTCGCCGGGGGGTACCCACCGGGGGGCTCCCCACTGCAGCATGGCCGCGACCCCGAGTTGCTGGCTGGACGGCGGCGGTGCGACAAACCAAGAGTGGGGCAGCGGGCACCGAACGTAGGCACAGCTGCACGGCCCTGCCCCACAGCCCTGCCCAACGACCCGGCCCCATGCCGCTCAAAGACCCGCTCAGGGCCCGCTCCTGTAGCTCTGCACAATGCCCTAGCCCGAGCACAGCCAAGACCCACGGCCCTTGCTGCCAGCCCAGCCCCACTGGCCCCACAGCAAAGCCCTTGGGATGGCCCATTGTGCACCCCAGGGTGAGAAACCAGAGCTGCCAGCGGAACCTTCCCTTGGCAGGGCTGCCCCAGCCCCATATCCTGGCAGGGATCAGAGGTGTCCCAGCCGCACGATGCTTGCGGCAGCCGGGATCCTGCAGCCCAGCCCCATTACCTGCCATGGGCCCGCGTGGTGCTGCTCAGGCTGCTCTGGCTCCTGACGCCCTCAGAGCCTGAGCCTACAGGAAACCTGCAGCCGCCGGCTCAGCCCCTTTCCTGCCAGGAAGGGGACACCCCTGCCCCTGCGTCCTGCCGGCTGCCAGCTGGGCCGGGACAGTGGTGCGGGACACACTCGCACGTCCTGGGTCACAGCCTGGCCATGGGCTCCTGCATGCACATGCGTGGCTGCATGGTCATGGGGTTGTGCTGGAGTGCTGCGGGATGTTTTGCGTGGCCGGGGCTTGGTGACGCCGTGCACAGCTCAGGGTCAGTGCACACACACCGGGGTCAGGATGTGCCTCCGCATCCTATCTGGGGAACCAGGAAACACCTTGCCGGAGCAGAGATTCTCCCTTCCTGCGGGAGCGCCACGGCTGGGAGGAAACCCTGAGAGCACTGCAATGGCAGCAGGAACAGATGGACAATGGGCTGACTGATGGTGCCCAGCCTAGAGGACAGGCTGGGCACAGAGTCTGCCCCGGCCACACATGGGTGGGATGAGCATGGGAGGGTCAGAGTGTGGGGCTGGGCCAGCAAACACAGGTGGAGCTGCACAGCAGCACTACGGCCCAGCCTACCCTTTGCCCAGCGAGCAAGGGGAACCCTGCCCTACCCTGACAGCTCCCAGTGGGAACCCTCCCCTCCACTTTGGGCCCCCCACCTGCCCAGCCTGGCAGGCCCTCATGCCCCCCACCTGCCCAGCCTGGCAGGCCCCCTTCCCTGGCTCTGTTCTGCAACCTCTATGCAAGTATCAGTGGCACATGGCCAGGGTGCAGCACGGGGACGTGTGTTTGAGTGGGCTGCGTGGGAAGGAGGTCAGGCACACCTGAGTTGCATGGGGACCTGCGCCCAGCAGCTGCACAACCACACACATAACAGCTCTCCTAAACGTCATGTACCCTTCCAGGGACAGACTACTGCCTTGCCCCAGGCGCCAGCTCTCTCTCTGCCTGACAATTGTCCCACCTATGGTCAGCATGAGTCACCCCACAGCTTTCACACACAGCACAGGGGTGCTGCAGAAGAGGCAGAGCCATCCAGCCATCTGCAAGTCCTCACGAGGCCCTTCTCTCCGTCCACAGGGACCGCTTTCCAGCATGCCCTAAGACCTTCACTGGCCATAGCTCCTACACATCACTCCTCCACCCTCCAAGGGGAGCAGGATCGACCAAGAGATGTCTTCCTGCTACTTCCCAGGGCAGTTTTACCACCTCAGAGGCTCAGAAATAGTGTCCAGGCTCTGTCTGTGCCTTTGGCCTGGTTTTGATCATGAGATGTTTAGTTGCAATTCTTTGGGTATTTTTTAGCTCATGGAGGCAAACTTCCCGGATTTCCTTCACAAGCCTGGAGAGCCGAGAACGCACTGTTCCCACACAGCTGACACATTCCCCCAGTCCCATGACTCCGGGCATTTTCAGATTACTGTGATGATCACAGCAGCAGCTCAGAGCTGGAGCTGTGATATGCTCTGCAGCCTCACAGCACTGAGAACAGCTCCCATATGCACAGGAGGGAACTGTTCCTTGGGTCATAGGGATGGGACCAGTCTTAGGCACATGGCAGTGGGGTGGTATGGGGCTCACAGCCCTGGGAGCCCCATACAGTCCAAATGGCCTGTGAACAGGTCCTGGCAGAAATCAATTGAGACAAATCTGATGGCAAGGCACAGGGAGCAGTTGAATGGCCAGGGACAGGCTTTCATGAGGTGGTATGAGGCAGAACCTCTTTCTTCTATCCAGTAGTCCCAGGAAGGGCACAGCTGCACTGGAGCAGGCCAATCCTGAGCCCCACTGTGTTACACAGGGCAGCTCAGAATGCATAGCATCTGTCATACTGAATGTGGCAGCACCCCTTGAAACAAGCCAAGTGTGAAATAGAGCTGGTATGAGCTGGGAGAAGAGACGTTGCTCAGGGAAGAAGAGCCAAAAGTGTGCTCAGCTCAGGGTATCTCTGCAGCAGCCAGGACATGAGCCCAGACGATGAGAAATCCATGCCTGTGTACATGCAACTTGCCCATTCCTGAGAGCCAGGCAAGCCCAAAGAGAGGGAAGCCATCCTTCCTCCTGCTTGCTCAGGAAGTCCCAGAGCAGTCCTGTGGAGAGGACCCATGTTTGTGTGCACGCAGAGATGAGCTTGCATACACAAACATGCACAATAGGCCTGTGCCAGTCACTCCTGAGCCTCACCTTCCAATGAGGAACGTAAGTGTGGTAACACTTGGGTGAGCATATCAGGCAGGTCAATCGGCTAGAATGCCGTCTATGAGGTTGGGCCAGATCACAGACAGACAGGCTCTGGCGTGGTTAAGTAGGAGTCCCAGGCAGGGGCTCTGCCATAGGGAAGGTTGATGGTGGTGCACACACAGTTGGCTCTTGGGGAATACAGGTACACTGCTCCCTGGTAGCTGACACCAGGCACAAGAGGGCTGCCTAGAGTCCTAGCCTGGGTCTGTAGAACTGAGCTTGCTGCCTGCGCTGATTTCTCCAAAGGTCAGAGAATAAGTGCAATGCAAATGCTGGTGAGTGGGAAGCAGCAGGAAGCAATGTCTCCCAGGCAGGAGTGAGGAGCCAGGCGGAGGCAGGGCCCATCTGGTCCCTCCAGTCTGGCAGCCAGGAGAATAGCAAATAGTGCACTGGCGACCCAGGAGAGACAGGGAAGGGGCAGACAAGGAAGGCAGCCAGGGTTGCCCATCCCTGCTCCCAGGTATACCAGGGCATCCCACACCAGCAAGGCTGGGAAACCATATCTGGCAAAGGAGCTAAGGGGACCCTGGAGGCATTCCTCTGGGCAGTGAGGTATAGCACAGAAGGAAGTAGCTCCTGGCTCATGACCATGGAAAGACTTGAGAAGCAGAGAGCCAGGCAGAGCTTAGGGGCTTCACTTAGGGTCTTGGGGGACTCCGCTTCTTGCCCACCTACTGAGGTGGGCTACACGGGGATGCTCTGCCATGTTCAAGACAGAGATATCACTCCATCAGCAGAGGCAGATGATATCTGTGAATCTTATACTCAGCACATGAACTGTGCTGCATATGATGCAGGGCACTGCCTTCCCCTGTCAAGACATCTGTACATGTGTTTTGCTGAGATCCCATGCCCTGACAAGTGCAAACTGTTGGGCAGCAGGGCCCAGCATCCATCGAACAGCTCAGCTCAACATTCCCCTCTGTGCCCCCTCATTTCACACTTGCCCTTTCCCGCACTAAGTGGCCCAAGGTACAGCAGGAGATGGCAAGAAGTTGGGAGGCCAGATGAAGTCCCCTGGGCTGCTGCCCTTTGGAGGGAAGGATGTGGCAGCTGCTCCCTTGCTCCTCTGCAATACACTATGAGCTGCACACAAAAGCAGAAGGGCAGAGCTGGCACCAGCCTGTGCCAGAGCCCAGCTGGGAGCCACTGTGGGGCCACAGGGAAGGCAGCATTCCCAGGACTGTCAGGGTCACAGAGGGGATCATGCTTGAGCTGGCCATCTCCTTCAGCCTCCATCTAAGTCCAGTCTTTGGGAAGGTCAGGACATGGGCAGGGGATTAATGGGTGGTTCTTGAAGAGGCTTTCTCCCTGGCAGTGGTTAGTGTGAAAACAGAGCTTAGCAGGGAGCCCGGAGATGTGTTGTAAGCTCAGTCCTCCCAGGAGAGAAGTGGACAGAGAACATGATGGAGAACTGCACCCAACTGACTGGTCCAGCTGGACAGAGCATTGCAGCCATCACCTCTCTAGCACATAGTAACATCTGCATGAGCTGCTCAGGCTGCATTGGCTCACATGCCAGCAAAGTGTCTCTCATCATACAGTGACACCACTTCTCCTGAGGTGCCCTGAGTGCCTGGGGACTGGCTCCAGGAAGAGGAGCAATTGGCTCCAGCTAAGCACAGGCAAGGACAGGGCAAATGTAGTAGACAGAGAATGCTGATGAGCCTGCTTCACTGCGCAGTGCTGTTTCACAACTGCTCTCTGCAGCCCTTCTTGAGGGTGATTCCTGCTGAACCCAATGCTCAGAGACTCATTAGAGTTGGAGTGCTGAAACCTCTGGCTGGAGATGATACTTCACCCATCATCTAAGATGATACAGAAGGATTGCAGTGTGGCTCCTCAGCAGCACTGGCTACCCCAGCCAAAGCCTCAGGTCTCTGCTGGCCCCCAAATCCCTCTGACCAGTGAGCCTAGTTCAAGGTCTGGGTCCTTTTCTGCAAGGAGTGCCGTGGCCTGGACCAGCACCTGGAGCTCTGGGCTGAGGCTGACCACAGTGCTCAGGCACAGCAGCTTTGTCCACAGACAGGGTGAGACCTGTCAGCTGAGGGACAGCTTGCTGAGAGCTCACCAGGCTCACCTCCCAGCCTTGCTACCTCCTTTTCCCAGCACTACCACTCTTTGTTGGGGTCATTTCTGCAAACACAGGTGCAGAGCAGCCCAGATACTGACACAGATGTACAGCCTTCAACCCCACATTGCCCTTCCCAAGGGGAGTGCTCAGTGGCTGTGCTTGCCTACCAACACTGCTGGCATTTGTGCAATAGCTGCATTTGGGATATGGTTGCACCTGGAATCTCTGAGTAGGGTTCTGACTCTCCACTGGGTCCTACCTAGATGCTTATAGAATAAACTGCATTTTTTCCAAGACCCCTTCTCTGTGCCATGCCCCACATGCTGGATCCCACTTTGCAGCCTCTCCCCTTCGTTGCCATTCCTGGATGTTCAGTCCAAAGCTGCAGGTCCTGGAACAGGTCTCAAAGGTGGACAAATCCAGGATAAGGTCTTGTGTTTTCCAACCGTTGATGAAAACAGAAGGTGCAGCTGTCTCTTTTCCCTGAGCTCATGGTGTAGGAGCAGCTGCTGTGGGACTCCGAAGCATCAGATCTTCCTAGCTGACACAGATAAGCCTTGGGCTCTGCCAGCAGCAGCCTCTGAGCACACTGCTAAGGGCACCCTATGCCTAGCCCTCTGTTTCCTACAGCAGAGGCTTTGATGAGTGCATGCACTCCATTGTGCATGTGCCTGATTCAGGCTGCAATCTACCTGGGCAGAGAGCACAGGCATATGGTGAGGGGGAGCGAGGTGGCAGTCCTGGGCCACTTGCTGCAGCCCATGGTTTCTCAAAACACACGTCACACAGTTCCACTGTGTCACAGGAGCATGCAAGACATCATATATATACCTTACCACATTTCCTGCCCTTGCT